CAAGTGGAGATGATCTTCACTCCGCGCTTGGTAGGTCTTCGGCAAAGGACGCGGTAGCGCCTCTGACGGCATCCAAGGCAATGGCGAAGAAGCCTGAAGGGAGTGAGATCAGGTTGCAGTCGGCCGAGCGAGCTGCTGCAAGCTCGGTGGAAGGTTACTTCCTGGTGTTGCCGGAGAGTTCGGTGGTGGACGCCTTCCTGTCGATGTCATCCAATAGGGTGCTGAACAAGCAGGTTAGAGAGTTCATCAGGAATGGTGAGAATGCTTCAGCACTGGAGGCTCTCAATCAGATCGTGACGAACTCTCGCCTCGGGAGAGGGCGTCGGGATTCGGATGTTTCCCGTACTCCTCGGAGGTCCGTTAGGACTCTGGACACCAGGGATTCCCGAGAATCGAGAAGGCGCAGATATCGACCGCGGCGTGACGAAGATCGAGACCGGAGGAGGGACGATGCTCGAGATCGTCGTGATGATGGTTCGCTCGATCGAGAGCGGGATCGAAGGCGAGATGATCGCAGGAGATCCGAGAGGGATCGTGACAGGGACCGTGCGCGGGGCGGACGTGACCGGAGGAGACGTCACGATAGCCGATAGGCTGAGTCACGGGGATTGCGGCCGATAGGCTTGCGTCCATTCTCCAATGGTCGGCGCGGTGCGAAGGTGATGATGTTCCTCCCGAACCGCTGAGGCGCGGAGATCATGTCTCTCCCGTACCGCTGCTCGGCTGCTGGTCGTGCTTTTCATGAAGTAGTGTGAGTGAGAGGGAAAGCAAACTGGTGGAGGGTACTCCCAGGTTTGCGGAATTCAAGCATTTTTCAGGTACGCATGGTCAGGGGTACCTCTTGCCGATAGGCGAGGGTACTGATGAACATACTACGTTATCCTTTGTTTCATGGCTTCTGATAAGAATTGAACTACTTGCATTGTTGATGCAAACAGTTGTGGCCTAGTGTCGTCATGTGGACTCTTCCACAAGGTTTGTTGGACAGCGTTACCCCGATTAATTCGGGGTGGTGGCGGGAATTTAATGCCCGGGATGTCGCGCAACTGCCTTTGTGGGTTTGCTCCACCGCTGACGGCGGTAGTGTCCAGCTGTTTGCGGACACATGCGAGCAGTTAAATCCTATCAGTAAATGGCACGCTCCACCCGTCATATGACGGGCTCCTCGTGAGGGGGGTGTGATTAGCCATGTGTTTCAGGTGACTACCGGCATGTTGCGATAGCAACAATCCGGTGCCACTTTGGCTCAAGTTTTCATGGGTTATGGGCGTCGCCGAACCCCTGCGTCGACCGACGACATCTCGGGGGAGAAAGAGACCTCGGGCCGCCGTCAGGTCGGTAGGGACCATTCGTGCGGCCTGTTGTCGGTCAAGGTTGCGGGTAACTCTTTTCTTTGTTTTGGTTGTTGTTCTCTTTTGTGTGGGAAACCCTGATCTTTGGGACCGGGGATTGGTTTGCTTTTGGGGAACCTTTCTTTTGTGGCTTGTTTACCCCAACTTACCCATTGCCTGGGCACAGGCTCGTGCCCGAATCGCAGAAAAGGATCACATCTTGCATTGTCGTGATCCTTGACCCACACCTTCTCGAGCCACGGACTTCGCTCGAGTGATTCTTCTGCCTGTGAATCCTCCAAAGCCAACGAGCAGGTCTGCGCCTGAACCATTCCAGCTGTCGCAACCGACGTCCTGGCTGCAGGAGTTTCTGTGCCAGTTGCCATCAGGAGTTTGCCGACGGGCGTTGGGAGCCCGGGACAACATCGTTCGCAACCCGAACGCTCAGGCTCGACTGCAACCATTTCTGGTCCAGCACACCTTCTATATACAAATCCTCACCACCTTTTCTTCTTCTACCACATCGAGCAAGGGCCCGACACCCACAGCTTCATTGGGCTGCCCATTGCAATGTGCAGCTTGTGGGTCGGGGAGTACCACCGCGCTGAACCACCTGTGTGACGACCTTTCGGATGGCGAGCCACAACCGGACAGCGCTTCCGCTCGGATCCCGCGACCGCTGCTGCAACACATGCCGGGCAAGGCCATGCCGAAGAAGGCACCACCAGCTACCGTCATTAGCTACCTCCTCTGAGACCTTCAAGGCTTCCCGTTGCACCAGAACCCCGGCATCAGCCTTCCTATACTGGCACCAGTGTGGCGGTAAGAGCGAAGCATGGCGGACACCGTCATAAATGTGGTCTCCAACTCCTTGGCCATGCAGCACAGGGGCCACATTCATTCTTCATCGCGAGCTCTTTGCGATACTCCTCAGCAACACGAGCGCGTTCTTTGGGAGAGGCAAGTTTCCACATATCTGATGGAATACCAGGTGGACGACTTGACTTTCGGGCTCTCACCAAACGAAAACCATCCCATTGAAACCCAGGTGGAACTGCCGACCCATCCGGCATGTGATCAGGATCATGATCAGCAAGTCCCTCGGCAGGTGCGGGAGGATCTTCCATCAAAACCTCCTCCGGCACAGCTGCTTCGCCAGGCTGCAAATGTGACTCCGGCTCATATTCCAATTCGTCCGGAGAACACGGTTTGTCGTCGGCAATAGCTTGCTTTGCGGGAAAAACAAACGTCTCATCAAGCAGACTGAACTCATACTGCTTGACGCGGAGGGGATTAATGTCACCCGTCCGCAACTTGTCCGGCAAATTCTTGAGCGGCAATACCAAAATTTTATGCGTGTAGGTAAAGCCAGGTTGCACATGATAGCCAACAAAAATGCCGACCTCCGAAGTTGGCAGAAACTTGGACTGCTTCGAATCGACGCGCTGACGATTGATCCAACACCAAATGGAATCTTCGTGTCAGGAAACTCATCACCAAAACGCAAAGCCCACGGCGACTTGTCCTTGTCATCTGGAATTGTAACATTGAGAGCAAATGCATGATGTTGAGCTGCCAAAGGCCAAAGCTCAACCGGCAAACCGCTTTGAAACAGATTTGCCCGTGCTCCCTCCAGAATTGTACGGATCTCGCGCTCGATCACCCCGGAAGATTGACTGACATATGGCTGGCTCAGCACGTGTCTCCAACCCATACTCTTTACTGCAGCTGCAATTTCGCCAGAATTGTCAGAATAGAAAATTCCAACATGATCATCTGGCTTCGTGAAATGTTGAAATGCACGAACGCAACTGTCAGCATCTTGCCTTGCTGAAGGGTAAAAATACCGGAACTGCGTGAACACATCTTTCACAACCAAAGCATTCCACTCGCCCTTGAACCCGTACGTCTCATCATTTGAAATTACGTGGTCAGCAGTCACATGATCTCCAAATGCTTTTGCATCCACTGAAGAAGAACCATGTCTGCGACGAGCTTGAGGTGCTTGCATCTTTCATCGCACACATGTTTCGCAAAAGGGGTTCTTGGGCCTGTGAGTGAAAGATGCTCTTCGCTTTTGGCCTCACGCATCATCATTTCTTTTGAACGCTTTGACATCGGTTTTGGAGCTTCCGCAACCTCAGGGTTGTCCTCCAATTCCGGATCAAACTCCGGTTCCGGCGGTTCAGCTTCATCAGGGCGCAATGGAAACGATGCGGCATCCGGCGGAGGTCGCCCCCCGCTTGAAGATGAAGGCACTTCAACGCCCCCGATCTTCTGATCGGATGCAGCAAGCGCAACAGGCATAGCGGATTCAGAAGCTATGACCTCGCACTGATCGTCAACATACGGAACTCGCCCATCGAGCTTCAATATTACCGCCTTGCCATCAGGTCGCACAAAGTACGGAGCACTGTTCTTTCTCCATACGAAGTCGTACCCCTTTTCCAAACATCGGGACTGTTCCATGCCCTGTTGTCCCACCGACTTGTCTTGCCACGTTTACCGTGAGGGACAGGCGCCGGGACCAAATTTTCATGGGCCAGGAAAACATCGCACCTGAATGGCGTTGCCGAGTTGCCGGACAGTTGCCATGCTCTTTTCACTCTGGCGCAGGCGAACCATCCACGGGAAAAATGCTTGGCAGCGCTGGGTTACACATTCGGTTTGCTGTTGCGGTTAACACTCGTGTTCTGAGTAACAACGCAATGTACCGTTTTACTCACCAGTTTGACAGACTGAAATGGACGTGCAACCGTCATTTCCCTTTGGAACCATCGGCTTGCTTTGAGAGCCGCCGGTTTCGTTGGCCATTTTGGCAGAGAAGATCAAATCTTGCACCTGCCCTGCCACTTCCTGCGCAGCTAGGTTTGACCTATTTGCTCGCCTGATGGCAGTGTCACGCACCTTCCACGTCGTGCCTCGTGACCGTCAGAATCTTCCTTTTGAACTTCAAATGCTGCTCGATTCCCTGCCTGACCTTCAGTGAGGTTGGCCCCGAAGACGCAAGCCTCAGTGGCCCTCTTGATTGATACTGTGCTGCGAATGCCGTGCTTGTTGCACTTTCATATGACCCGGGCACGGATGTGCCGCTGTGATACGCAAAGCCGCATTCCCCTTTTTCGGGTGCTTTCCGGGTTTTCCACTCAAGGGCAAGAAGCTGAGCGGGAATGCGCGGGCATCTTGTCCACATCCTCCTCCAACAAGAACAGCGCAAATCCGCTGCTGACCCTTTTTTTGTCAACACCAGGAGGTGCTGGTTGTTGTCGGGTCCAATCCTTCTCGGGCGTCACCTGGGTTACATGTATCATGGAGTTGTTTCGGGGCGCAACTTGGGGCCAACGCAGCGTTGCTTCCAAGATTTGTTTGAGTGCAACTTGCGCCCAGCCATGTTTTACAGCCTGTCGGAGTTTTGAGTCAACTTGCGTCGTTGTTCGGGCCGTTTGGCTGCCCATAGCCGGCTCGCCTTGCTGCATCTTAGCAGTGAGTTCTGGCTTGACTGCAAATGGAATCATCCCTTTGTTGCCTGCAAGCCCATTGAAAACCGATGAGCTGAGAGCCAGCAAGCGCCTGAGCTTGAGGGAAGGTGTAGTTGCGTCAGTCGCGCGTGGGGTTGCAAGGTGTGAGTGTGAGGCATTTACCGGCCGAATTTGGGAGCCGCACCCCGAGGCAAATACAGCGACTTCTTGCGGGAGCGCTTTCAGTTGTGTGGCAATCGCCTTGGGTCTGGGTGGCCCACCAACGTGGGCAAGGTTTTGTTGCCGCAGTTTGCGCCGGAGGAGTTGACTGCGGCCTATTTTCAGTTAAAGGCGGGCCAAACCTGGGGACAACATGCTGTTGCTTTGTAGTTCCTTTCAGACGTGGATGCTCATGACCCCTTTGTCAGGAGGAAGCGCTAGTGTCGTATTGCTTTTTAAGCTTGACTCGTCGGCAGAACCTGGAAAACACTCTTCCTAAACCCGTCTAAACCCCCTCTCGGACAGGGCAGAGACGAGCTACGGGAGGAGCACTACGCTCCGCGCAACATCCGGGTGAAACTGCAGGGTGTGCGTCACGCCTCCGAATGGGTCACTTCGCCGCAGCTTCTCGCCTAAAACAGTTGGCTGACCTCAGGCGCAGGTGGTATTTTGTGTTCAACACGTTGGTCCAGGCCCCAACTCAGGTCAATCTCTGGCGAGGTTTTTGGGCTAAGGTCCCCCTGCTCAATGAGCCTAGACGTGGCGGATCCGCATACGACAGCAGTCAATTCGATTGCGGTCTCAGCTGGGCTGTGGTGCACTTTCATCAATCAAGGCTGCTCAGAGGTCAGTTTGACCACCCACACCACAAATCAAACGATACTGCTTGAGAAGTACCTGAGTGGGGTGGGCATGCGATCTGCCCTTCAAAAGCTACATGAACCAGACTCTTCTCAAGAATTCACGCGGCTGACTGCCGGGTGGCGGGCAGCTTGTCTCAACTTGGCAAGTATTTGCTGTTCTTTCAACTTTTGTTTCTCACGGCAGAAAGGGCGCCTGAAAGCAAAGACAAAAACAGAGACACTGGCCAATAGAGGCACAAAAGCCGACTGAGGCAAACCAAGGCAGAGCTAGAAAAGAATAGAGGGGACGGGGACTAAGAGAAGCAGGAAGGTGTGGAGCTGATGCGGCGCACCTACACCCACCGCCATATACCGCAGAGCCCGCTTGTAAATGCAACATGGGCAAAAGTGTAGCTGTACGTAACTCCCCATATTTAACTTGGCCAGCATTTTGGCTCAAGTGGAACTCTCTGATGCCTTGATGTTTTTGAACTTCTTTTTCCCTTTCTTCCTATTGTCCATGGACCCCCTCACGCAAGGAAGACTGTTGCTGAGGCACAAGGTAAGGCCAGGGCCTCCACGCGGCGCATGCGCCCGAGGAAGCCCGGTTCAATGTGCGGGGATGCCAGAGATGCGCAGGCAGCTGCATGATGTTGTAGCGCAATGCTAATTTAGGAGTTCTACTTGCAATGGGCCAGCTACAGTGCACACTCTGAGGCTTGAAGATTCCCCAGCAGCAATCCTGCCCCCCAGCGTTTGCAAGCAACAGCTAGCAAACCCAAGTCTGCAGTCTGACAGTCTTATTCGTGCGTCCCGGCCTCGCGCTCCTAAAATCGTTGCCGTGCAATTGGCAATGCGGCAATTCCCTTGAACTGCTAGAGCCCCTAAGCCTGCCTACTTGTGAGGCTTGCGAATCTTCTTGTACTTCACTGCCGCCCTTGACAGCCTCCATGGAAGACTTCTTCCTCTCCAAACTTTTTCCTTCTCTTTGATCCTAGGGCTTGTCTCACTCTTTGCCACGCCAGCTGATGACAAGATCTCAGCCCCAGCGTCATCAGCGTATTCCTTCTCTTGGCCTGGGCTGTTTTGGCTCTTACCATCTTCCTCTTCCAGGCTGCCCTCACTCTTGTCCTTGAGGTTGAATTGCTTCTGAAGGTTCTTCCCAATGTTTGTGACCTTGTTGGGCTTGAACCGGCACTCATCATCATAGTAGATGCGCACACTAGCCAGCATGCAGCCCAGCGATCTGGCAGAGAAATGAAGATATACTGGAAAACAAGTAAGTGCGCACACTGGCGAGCATGCGGCCCGGCGATCCGGCAGCACTGGGACAAATGACGGCGCATACTGGGAGACAAGTAGATGCGCTGTTCGGCTGCTGGGCTTTTGGGTTGTTGCGCTGTTGGGTTGTTGGGTTGTTTGGCTCTTGGGCTGTTGGGTTGTTGGGCTGTTTGGCTCTTGGGCTGCAAGTGTCGGTATTGGGTTATTGCGTTGTTGGGCTGTTGGGCTGCTGGGCTGTTTGGCTTGTTGGGCTGATGCACTGTTGGGCTGTTTAGCTGTTGGGTTGTTGGGCTGTTGGGTTGTTTGGCTCTTGGGTTGTTGTGTTCTTGGGCTGTTGTGTTGGGTTACTGGGTTGTTGGGCTGTTGGGTTGTTGGCCTGTTGGGCCATCGGATTTTAGGTGTTTGGCTTGTTGGGGTTGTTGGGTTGTTGTGTTGTTGGGCTGTTTGGCTGTTGCGCTGTTGGGTCAGGTTGTTGGGTTGTTGAGATGTGGGGTTAGGTGTTGTGTGGTTGTTGGGCTGTGGGCTGTTGGGTTGTTGGGCTGTTGGGTTGTTGGCCTGTTGGGCCATCGGATTTTAGGTGTTTGGCTTGTTGGGGTTGTTGGGTTGTTGTGTTGTTGGGCTGTTTGGCTGTTGCGCTGTTGGGTCAGGTTGTTGGGTTGTTGAGATGTGGGGTTAGGTGTTGTGTGGTTGTTGGGCTGTGGGCTGTTGGGTTGTTGGGCTGTTGGGTTGTTGGCCTGTTGGGCCGTCGGTCGGATTTTAGGTGTTTGGCTTGTTGGGCTGTTGGCCTGCTGGGCTGGCCGTTGTTTCTGTTGGGTTGTTTGGTTTTTCGGCTGTTGGGCAATTGGGCTTTTTTTGTTTGGCTGTTGGGTTCAGATTGTTGGGTTGTTTGGTTGTTTAGCTCTTAGTTTGTTGCGATGCTGGGCTAGTGGGTTGTCTGGTTTTTTGGTTTTAGGCTGTTGGGTTGTTAGGTTGTCGGGCTGTGGGGTTGCTAAGCGGTTGGGTTGTTGGGTCGTTGGGTTGCTTGGTTGGGCATTTGGGCTGTTGGGCTGTTGGGTTGTTGGGCTGTTAGGCTGTCGGGTTTTATTTTTTGCTTGTTGGGCTGCTGTGCTGTTGGGGCGCTGTGCCTGTTGGGCGTTGGGTTCGTGGATTGCTGGGTTTCTGTGCTGCTGGGCTTTTGGGTTGTTGGGCTGTGGTTTGCTGGGTTAGGTTGTTGGGTTCTTGGGTTGTTGGGCTGTTGGGTTGGTGGGCTGTTGAGTTGATGGGTTTTTGTGCGTTGTTGGGCTGTTGGGTTGTTGGGCTGTTGCGTTCTTGGGTTGTTGGGCTGTTGGGTTGTTTGTTTGTTTGTCTTGTGGGTTGGGTTGTTGGGTTCTTGGGCTGTTGTGTTGCGCTATTGGGCTGTTGGAATTTGGGTTGTTTGGCTGTTGGGTTGTTGGGCGGGATTGTTTGGTTTTTGGGTTGTCGGGCCGTTTGGCTGTGGGCTTGTTGCGCTGCTGGGCTGTTGGGGTGTTGAGTTGTTGAGGTAAGTTGTTGGGTTCTTGGGTTGTTGGGTCCTTGGGTAGTTCGGGTAGTTGGGCTGTCGGGCTGTTTGGTTGTTTTGTCTCTTGGGTTGCTGCCAGATCGCCCGGCCCTCCCAGTGCTGCCGGTTCGCCGGGACGCATGCTCGCCAGTGTGCTAATTTACTTGTCTCCCAGTATGTGCCTTCATTGACTCCCAGTGCTGCCAGATCAGCCGCATGCCCACCAGTTTGCGCAAATACTTGTCTCCAAGTATTTGCCTTCATTTGTCTCATTTGTCGCCCAGTGCTGCATGCCTGAAAAGTTGAAAAGCTTCACCATCGCCTCGGTTTCTGGTTCAATCAACTTCCAGCTTCACATAAGTCTGCACGAGCTGCACAGCGGTGGCTGTGTAGGTAGGGGGATCCTTTCTTGTACTGCTGGCCACACTCTTGGAGATCTTGGCTGCATGTTCACAAAGGCTTCCTTCTGAGCTGTGTACACAGCCCAGTGTGTCTGGCAGGTAGCCTGTGTCCCCTTGAAGGTCTTAAAGTCACTCATCTCCAAGGGCAACGGCTTTGGCAGATTCTTCTTCAGCACTGCAAGGATGACAAGAACAGAGCAGCTAAATTTAACTCCATCAGCTTCGAGACCTTGATGGAAGAGAGGGTAAGCCCGGCCTGAAAAGTCGAAGTCCACAACTGCCTCGTCGGAGCCGCGCTTTGTAGTGACGGTCTCCCGGTAGGTTTCCACTGACTTGGCGCATGTAAGAGTCCATCAGAAGACTCGAGTGGATCAGGAATTGCTGCACAACATGTTCATGTTTCACTTCTGGTTCCATTGCCTTGTCTCCTCTTCCCCTATTCATTTGCTGCATTTTTTGCGGTCAGAGTCTCGCCCAGCACTTGCTCCTTCCTCTCTTTGTACTGGAAAATCTCATGGCACCATTGGCGGGCATTACGCTTGACAATGTCGTAGTTCTGGATCATCTTGACTGCCAGAAAAGTTTACCACAACGTCCAAACTACTGCAGTGTATGATATTTTAAGGATTTTTTCAGTTGATGAGCATGAAATTCAGTTCTGCCACCGCTGTATTTCGTCAAATGCTTCCCAATAAACAGCATCATCGCCAGTGACCAAGACCAGCGTCGCTTTCTGGAGTTCTTTTTCATTTGAAAGTCATGGAGCGGGTAATCTCCGCAGGGCTATTCTGTCGTCAGCTCCTCTTCGTTCCTTGAAGGTCGCTGTTTGCGGCGCTCACGGCAATGACAAGCATGTCTTTGAGGGCCACACCCGGGACTCCATTGCCCCAAGGGTCGGTCGCGCCACCACACTTCCATGGCAGCTCTGTGTGCGCCAGCACCAGGGTCCCAGCAAACAAGAACTAAACCAAACAAACAACACATCATCTCAGCTTCGCAACAAATTGCCCAGGCTATCCTGAATCCTGGACTCCTTGGTTGCATCATCAGTAAGCATGAGGGGTTTCTTGTTCATTTTGTTGAAGAGCCGATGCTCGATCACCTCCAAAGCTCCGCGCAACACCCCGGAGTGGGGCCAAAGGAACCGCTGCAGCTTCAGGTGCCTTGCCCCTTGCCAGCATTTCCCATCTGCCTTGGCAAGAGCTGACTTGTTTGCCTTCGCCTTGGTTCATGCCCTGCGGCCTTTGCCTGCTGTCTGAGCTCTGTCTTGTTCAGCCTCCATTTTGACGCCATCTTTGACAGCGAGCCATTGACTGAGCTTCAGTGAACCACAGCGGGGCGGGAGATAACAGATAAGTTGAAGTGTGTAGTCTCAACCTCGGCCGCTTTCGTCGCTTCGCGCGCCTGGCAAGAGCGTTAAACAGCCTTTGGAAACATGTTTGGAAGCAGGCCTTGGCATCTTATCCTCCTCCTTGACCTCAGTCTCAGCGTCCTGACGGCGGTCACGGTGCCACACGTCGATCACACGGTCATCGTGGCACTCGAGGCTGGCCCGCCTCAGTCAACCAAGCAAACTTCAAACTGGGTCAATCAAAACAAATTGAACTTTCACGTAAGTTTCACTGCGTCCCCTTACCATTGCCATGCTGGAGCTAGTCCTCAGTGCGGCAAATTGAGCCAAGCTGAGCCAACATGCGACGCCGGCATCAGTAAGACAGGCATCAAACCTTCATGAAATTCAACATCTCATGAATCAAAATGAACTGACAAGGTCAAGGCTCCTGGCAACGCGCTGCTGGCAATGTGTAGGCCAGGGCCAAAGCCCGAGATGCCCGAATTGGATTCAGGCAAGTCCTTGCAGCCCGAGCTCAGAGCCCCAATTGCAGCACAGGCCTGCTTTCATGGACATCCAAGGATCCCGTTCCCGCATGCAAGGTTCAATGCGACGCCCTGCCTGGCAACCCGCGCCCTGGTCTCAACAATTATGTCAACACGCACCGTTGCTTGCCACAATGCCGTGATTGAGGGCTGCCTTGATTGAGGCTGTCCAAAATTCTTAGGACATGGGAACGCAGCAACTCTAGCTCCAGCATCACTACAAATGTTCGACAAGTCAATCCGCTGACTTTTCCCTCGCAAGTCTCTGTCAGGACTGACAATCAGCGAGCAAGTAGCTCAGCTGAGGAATCCGAAATGTTGGACCAGTCCTGCCATCTCGGACGACAACCCTCCACGCCAACATAGTCGTCGTAGGACTCATCAAGCCTGGGTGCTGCTGATATGGCGGCGAGCCGAGCGAGTGCACTGGCGCGGCTGTTCTTACCACTTCGCAGGTAAGCGTGCACCCTTTATGGTCAAAGAAAACTAGGATGTCTTGCAAAGAGCTCGTTTTGGCTGAGCGCTGGCTCCAGTGCGGGGGATCTAGACCCACCATGCCTTGGGAGCTCTATGTGCCTGATTGCCGGGCCGGAAAGCATGGTCGCGGAGGTCCCGCAGTAGTCAGCCAGAGGTGCCCTTCAGTGCGAGGCGACAATCAAGGCCTGGAGTTTAGTGAGGTCTCTGCCAGGTTCCATGGGCGCAGTGCCGTGAAAGGCAGCCTGTTTGCACCTTGGTCTCAGTGAGCCATGGCATGCTACGGGTAGATTCCAACGCCAACCAAGCCAGAGTTGTCCCACAGCGTTGGCGCTAGCACACGGAATACGGCGTTGGCCTTTGTCTTTTTGTCGCAGAGGCGGGAGGTCGAGGTGAGCCATCCAGAGCCTAGAGCTACTGGGCTGGAGCTTTTCCCCATCATCGTCCAACATGCTTTCCGCAATGCTCCGACTGGCGGAGCGACTTGTGTCCCACCTGAAGAACCATGGCTCGCTAGGTTTGGTTCCCTTGGCCCTGTCCTGGTTTCCTTGCTGCAGCTGCTTCTGCGGGAAGTCCCTGTTCCAGCGCATGTACCGCTTGTTGGCGGAGGCAGGCGTGAAGGTGGGCCGCTACGGATTCAGCTCTTGTGGCACGAGGGCAAGCCAGGGAACGGCCTCCATCTTCGTGACCTGCAAGGGAAGGACGCGGCGCTTGAAGATCTTCAGCTTTGGTCAACCCTTGCAATGCCGCCAGGTGGGAGACTATCCTCAGTCTACGCGTTTCGGTTTGGAAAGTGACTTTGCAGCGCTGGTGGGTGACTGTAGCGAACAGTGGCCAACATGGCTGATTTTGCAGTACAGCACAACTCGATGATGATGGATTTCCTAGGATGCTGTGACAGGCCACGCACTCCAGACGATTCGCAAAAGCGAAGAATATCGTGTTGTGAGATTGCTACCAACGTGTCCCAGCTGGGCGCGAAAACTTTTACACTGCTCACACAACCATTTCACTTCCAGTTTCTTCCTTGGCAAGACCTTGACAGAAGACGCTGAGGCTCACAGTGTGTTATTTATCACACAAAGGGGCTGACCCGTCTCCCGACATTTTTGGGGCTTGTGAACCCAGGTTCTTGGAGAGCAGGAAGGGGCAATCTCAGCCATAAATGGGTGCGCACGCTTTTTCAATTCTGTACACGGCTCTGAGTAGACAATTTCAACAGGGTTGGGGTTCGTAGTTGGGGACTGGGATGTCGACGACTGCCCTCTCGGGCGCTTTCAGGGTTAAGTTGCTTTTGGCTGTCCTTCTCCAATTTCAAGACGAAGCCTGTCGCTTGAGGTGGATGCAGACTTTTTGATGAAGGTTCTTCATTGTGCGTGGCGTGCAGGGCGTGCCAACTCGATGGGCTGGATGAGCACAGCCGATTGGCAGCCCTGCCAGGGTTCAAAACACGGCCCCACTTCCCTTTGCTCGCGAAGTTTGCAGGCGCTGCTTGTGTCGTTATTTGGAGGGCAATTGTCACCAGACCTCATGAAGCGGTGAGGGCTGTTCACCCAGTTGATAATTTTGTCAGTGGCAGGAGATTTTCCCGCCTGGACAAGGCGAACTGAATGTCAAGGAGCTGCTGAAGGTCATGCAGGGTGGGTACAACCCTTGGGTGCTTCATTCATTTCTATCTGGTGGAACGCCTCTGGACGCAGACTTGCTCGCACGAACGTGCAGCAAGTTTGATCGCGCGAGCCCCTCTCTGGCTGTGGAGCGAGCCCCGGCTGTTGAGAAAGCAGGAGCAATTTGTCCCGGTAGCCAGAAAAAGGATGAAAATGGTTATTAGACTGTAGCCAGCAAACAGCAGCGCATGGTCGGGTGTGATGTAGGACTCCGAAACACCTTTGGGCGCCTGTCGCACTAGTCAAACTTTTGCTGGCCAGCTTGCTTTTTGAAACCAGGGATAATTATTCTTAGTTCTTTTTCCTTGGCCAAGTTCTGAAATGAAACGAAAATGTGGTTGTAGTCTTTCTTGTAGTGCTGCTTGTAGTACTTGTAGTACTGCTTGTAGTACTTGTAGTGCTGCTTGTAGTACTTGCAGTACTGCTTGTAGTACTTGTAGTACTGCTTGTAGTACTTGTAGTGGTGCTTGTAGTACGTGTAGTACTGCTTGTAGTACTTGTAGTACTTGTAGTACTCGTAGTACTGCTTGCTTGTGGTACTGAGGAGGTTTAGAAGGAACTTCCTTGTTACAGCAGCTACTCATTGCTAGCTCGCTAAAGAGGGAATATGCATGCGAGAAAAATGCGCCCTGTGCGTGAAAGCTAGCACCATCGGCACGGTATCTGTGTTGAAGTGGCTTGCGCAGGGAACACACTCGCTGGAATGAACTGAATGTGAGAGTCTCTACGTGGTGACAACTCTTTGCTGCTCGAGAGCTGAGTGCCATTTTATGGGAAACTTGCTCATGAGGATTAGCAGGGACAGGACCCTGCAACAGTCCAGGTCGATCGATGTGGTCTCCCTTTCCAGCATCGTCATTGTCTGGACAGAGGGCATTTGCGTTTGGCCAGGTTCCTGACCCTGAGCAGCCCTGCAGCTTCACGCAGTGGTTTGCAACTTGTAGCAGAAGCCGCAGCAAACAAAGGATGGAACATCTTTGACATGGATCTCAAGACCGCTTTCCTACAACGAGAAGCTGATAATCAAACAAGAGGTACCATTCGTCAGATGCCACCTGAAATGAGTTACCTCGGCAATGGTGGAAGTTCTCGGTTCATCATTGCTTTGTTCGGGTTGGGCCAACACGCGCAGGCCGTTGTGTGGGAAGATTCTTCCAAAGGGCTCCGCGCGATTTTGTGGACCCAGACCCAACAATGCCCAAGCTCAAGTTGATGGAGCTCCATTGCATGTTGATGATCTTCTTCTGAGCGGAGACGATGTTTTTTGAGAAGGAGGTCATGGCCAAATTCAGGAGTTTCCTCAGAAGACAAGAACGACTGCCTTTTCGTGGGACAGCGCATTCAATTATAAAGAAAGATGCCAAACGTGGTTGGTATATCAATCTCCACCAGAACGTCGCGAGCGATGAACTTCAGGCAGTTACTTCTGACAAGAAAATGAAGGACGATGTTCCACCGACACCACAAATGCATACTGCGTACAAGAAGCGTACTTGGACAACTCAATTGGGAGAATCTGGAGCTCACCTCCATATTGGGAGTCTGGAACGCCCGTTTCCAGAGGCTCCGTAATTGATTGCAAGACCCGTGAGGTCACGGCCACCGCTATCTCAACGACAGTTGCAGAACTACATGGACTCATGAGATGATATGTCCCATGCTTCTTCCTCCATGTTTGATGGTCCGACGTTACAGGACAGACTGCCGATGCGCATCTTCGAACAGATGCGAATAACTTGGTGACTAACCGCACCAGCGACGCATCAGCCGCTCATCAGCTAGAAGGAGACCATTTGTCGGAAAAAGAGCAAAGAGAGACAGACTGTTCACAGCGAAGCCTGCCTGCCTGGCAGATTCACTCGCCAAGCACTCAGCCAACCAGATGAGCGTACAAAAGCTGTCCTCACTGCAACCTTCTGAATGTCTATGCTCACTGTAGAGTGGTCAATATTTGCCCATTGGGTTGGGGCAGCGGCGCTTGATTGTGAATCATGGCGCATGTTTACAACTTAAGACTTTGTCAGATTTGCAGACCATGACCATGAAAGGTTTGGCACTGACATTCCCCATTTTTGCACGCTGCTCAGGTGGCCCCAGCCGCAGTCACGAAAAGCTCAATCAAGCAGCCACAATCCTGAATATGGTTCCCAAGTTGCTCCCGGCCAAGCCGACGGTCCATCCAGCATCGAAGAGAAGCGCTTCACCTCTCAAACCGCCACAGGACAAGAAGGACAAGAAGGATCTGACATATCTAGATGATGCGACTTTCACCAGGTCCAATCAAGGAGCAGAGTTAGACAACTGCAGATGTCATGCACGATCTACCCAGCATGAGATCTTCCTCGAGATGATGACAACTTTCTGAATGGAGACTGACTATGAAAGAAATTCTTTGATTCGCCATGTTTCCTGGAACAGCGCGGACAGGCGCGGGACACCCCGAGCCCTGACCCGAGGCCAGAAGGCATTGTCTCAGCACCACTAAAGAACTGATTCCTTCACATGACGACATCCAACTCAGAGCCATTTGAGAAAGACATGTTCTTCAACATTCCATGAGTTCCAGTTTGTCGCAGAACATGAACCGGCGCTTACATTTATCTCAGAGCGTGAGCGATGCCAAGATGAAGCTGGAAGCCCGCGTTACAGGGGTATCGCATCAACTTCGGCTCACAACAGGGATCCTACATGCGATGTGCTGTGATGTGGTTTGTTGGAAAATGCATGCGATGTGCTGTCCTATTCAAGAAGAACCAAGATCTTCGCAGATGTGCCACATGTGCCGATTACACTTCGCGCGACAAGTTGGGCATGGAGCACACCCTCACGATTGTCTCGCAGCTCATCCAATATCGGAAATCAAAAGACCAGGGGAGTATGGCAGGACCGAGCAAATGCAATCGCATCATTACTCTTCTGGAGAAGCAGCAGACTCCTATCACAAGCAGCCCAACATGAGTCCGAGCAGACCGAGATCGAAGTTGAGAGACGGATCACGCGAAGTGTATCAGCTTCGCAACAAGCTCAAAAGCACATGCAGGCGCGTCTCAGAAATAGCGAGAGTGACTGCTTCGCAAATTTTATCGGACGACGATTGGCAAATTGACCAGTCGGCCAATGATGTTGAGATGGGGTATGAAGAGCCTCGACATGGCAGCAGGAACATCAAAAAGGGTGCCAGACCAAAGGACGAGCAGTTTCCAGAATCAAAGGGTATCCTGCCCGACGCAAGCTTTGCGCCCAAGTTTCAAGGACCGGCGTGTGTCGAAGATGGCCAGGAGATTCCGACCCTGGAGGTCTTTGAGACAAAGCCAGGGTATCCAATCAGACTTCCTCAAAGAATCAGAGAGCTTCAAAGAAGCCATAATGCAGGCAAGATCATGGCAACTTCTCCAGACCTCGGTCAAGGAACCGAATGGCAGAGACGAGTCGCCCCGCGCCATTGAATGTGCTCACAGCAAATTGGGGAGACGCTGGGCGATCGCCGAAGCGTAAAGACAAGGAATGGCTACGATTCCACTGGCAGGGCAGATTGTTTCTTTGAGTGTGCGTGGCTGGCAAGAGACGGTAGCTAAAATCGCTATGTGCTTCATTGCTGCTTCATCAATGCCATATTCCAGAAAAGAGCGCAGGACCAATCGCGTGCTTCGTTTAGGGGGATAAGACCAGAAACTATTGACACGGCGTGCAACAGAAAGGTCATCCCAGTAAGGAATGGCAATGGGATTGAATTATTGTCACAGCACATTCAGAATGACGATGGGCGCCTTTCGATGCTAGTTGGGGGCTACGCCAAACCACGAGTGGAAATTGCGTGAAGAAGGGACACTACCAGAGAGATCAACTTCCACCAGGAGCAGTCATCAACTACAATGACGACTGCAACCAGGTCATCACCGTCAAGACCGATCCCAACACAGATTTTGAGAATCCACTCATGGCTGACCATGTTGGGCCATCATAATTCTGTACGTGCGCATCCCCCCACGCAAGCAAACCACGGGCAATTGCCACGAGATGCAAGAGGAGTCTGTCCAACTTATTTTTGAGTAGTGGCTTCAACAAGACCGCCAGGACATGCGCATCCTGCAGGGAAACATGCCATCCAACACGTGCGCTTCTTGGCGACCTCAAGCACAAGGTCAACCTGCTGCATTCTTTCCTGATCGACTGGAGGTTAGCCTCAAGGGATATGGCAAAAGCATCCTTCACAAAAGGCAGACTTTCCACTGGGCAAAGACCGGGAGGCAGAGAATCCGACATGAGCTTGCGTAAGCCCATGTCTCGCCAAGGACAAGAACAATATGAAGCATCGCCCGAACTCTTCGAAGTTTCGGGACCTTTGAACGTCAGGCGCATCAACGGCAGAAAGACTTCAGATTGGCACCTTCTGTTCATGGTGAACATCGAGAAGATCAAGAGATCACGCAGTGAAAGAAGAAGCTCAGACCACTACTACAAGAAGAACAAGTCAAGCACCAGCGATTCGAAATTTGCTTCCTGAAGCAAACTTCCACAAATATAACAATTCGAAAGTGCGAGAATTTCAACCAAGATGCTACCTATCAAATGTCTCACACTGCTGCACACCTTCAGCGTGTCCCTTCTGCGCAGCGTGTAGATAGGAGGTGAAAGTCTGACGGTCAGAGCTGATTCCAGTACATACATATTAGGTGCTGAGGAAGGCCAAAAGAAAGCAACCTATATGCTGTGGCTCAGGCCTAAAAGAACTATTTAAGCAGTCAATCTGACATCACAGGTGAACCAAGTATCCCCTATCCCTTTCCACCAGGGCTCGGCGTGGGGGACCCCCGTCTTTTTAGGGGAAGGGGGTCCTAAAACTTGTCCTGTAGCGAGGTCAAAAAGCTAGATTTCTTTGGGCGCGCTCAAGGAAGCTACTTGTTCGAGAGGGAGCGAAACACGTTGTCCTTTTGGGAGGCGTCCAACACTACTCGTGCTAAACGGTCATCGTTTTGTTGGTTAGTTGACTTCGTTGCCTAGGAATGGCCGCCCTACTATCCACGGCAGCTCGCTTCCAGAGTTGCGAGGCCCCTCGGCTGTCCATAAGCAAACGCCGCGGCGGCCAGAAAGGCAATGGTTGCAGCGCATTTGTTGCAACCGTGTCGAAACAAACGAATCGCAAAGTCTTGAGTCAAAAGAGGCCCTGTCCTTTGTGACAATAGGAAATGACCAGGCTCAGGAACTGCACATTCCTGAAAACGGGCCGCAAGCATGGAAGGCTGGGGCGGTCAGGTTGGCCGGGAAGGTTCGGTGTCAATTGCAACGAAAAAACGGGGCTAAACCTGATTTGTTGGGAGGCCTGGGCAATGACGAACCTGAAGTTATTTTTGGGCGGCCTGGGCACTGACCACTCACTCATTCACTCATTCACTCACTCACGCACGCACGCATTTAACGCACGCAAACATTTCACGCACACATTTCACGCACGCGCGCCACGCCACGCCGCGCCGCGCCACGCCACCTCACGCCACCTGTTGCCACGCACGCACGCACGACTCACTCTCGCAGCCCATCAGGATTGGGGGAAATATGTCATGAAATGTATGTCTGGTGATGTGTTGCGGGGGTTGTGATGAATTGACATAAAGTGTTGGTGTGAAGTTGGGGGGTTGAGGGGTTGCGCTCCACACTTGAGCAGGTGCAAGACACGAAGCTGCCATCTGCCCTGGCTGCGTCCCCCTCAAGGAACAGTTCCTGATCAAGTGCGCATGGCCTGTTTGCAGGCAGTGTGCCCATACGCCAGCGCAAACCCCCCTGGTGGGCACAACTAGTGCCGGCCTGCTCACCGGTGGGAACCTTAAGCCTGAAGACAATCCTAAACAAAACCGCCGAAGCGGGAACCCAGGAAAGCAGGCCTTTGAAGCGCCTGCGGAGGAGGAAGATCCGGACGGACGAGGATTCATCCCCATCTTCTTCCTGACAAAACCACCCTGTCGCACTCTACGCACCTTGCGCAAGGCATCAGCTATGCATAATTCTTTACCAATGACACGGCGGCATGTCCAGCGGTCTGGAGCCAGTCCCGAAAAGTTGGTTCACCCTTGCTGCTGAGCCTGAGGCGCTTCCTGCGACAGGATAGTATCATCTAGCTCAGTCGGAGCAGTGGCTATCTGAGAAAAGCGCTCACAGCAGAGTAAGCTGCGCCGCATCTTGGCAAACATCGTTCAAGATGTTCCGAATTCCTCATCGCATGAAAACGGTCGCCTTAGGTGTTCAGTACCTTCGTCCAAACAAACTGTCTTGCGGTGTTCGCAGGCAAGCAGCGGGCAACAGACAAGTCCAGCCCGTTTTGTGTTGGTTGCCTGTTCCCTCACAGGTCACATTGAGGCTCATCGCTGTTTCCTCAGCAGTTCAGACTTCACGGTAGCGGGTCACAGATAAAGCGCCACTTGAAACCGCGGAACGCATGATCGCCGGCCAAGTGGTCTAAGCAACAGCTTGCAAGTTATCGAAAGTTGCAGGCGCGCTGGTGCCAGTATCACCGCTGGTGGCAAGTGTTCTATGTGACGACTTCAGCTCAGCAATACTCTTTGGGCCGCCTGAACATCGTTCAGAAACTTTTGTCCAAGCCACAGCAAAGAAATAGCTTGGAAATGAGGTTTTGGCACGCGCACACACACACACACACACACACACACACACACACACACACACACACGCGCACACGCGCGCGCACACGTACACGCACAGGCTCACCCACGCGGACCACGCCCACGCCCACACGCGCGCACGCTCCCAGACGCGCACCCACACGCCCCCAAGCCCACACAGAAGCTAAGCGTGCGCAAGCCCACACAGAAGCTAAGCACGGGCCTTTGTGTCGGCTGGTGAAACGGAGCGTGGCACTGGCCAATTTTGCCGGGCCTGTTTGGCCCACCATCAGTTTGGCATGGCCTGGTTGGGCCGCTATAAGTCAAAAAGCGCGAAACATTCCAGATGTTGCAACGATAACTCAGACTCTTCGTACATGTTCAAAAAATTCACAGTTAGATGAAGAGATCCCAAAAGCATTATTTCACTGTATCTTTTCCTTCATTTATAGATGCTTTTGGTGGTCATTTGCATTCCCAAGATTATTTGCAAATTAATTTGAAGAAGGTCGAATCATGGGAATGAAAAGGAACAGATAATCTTAGTTCCACCGCTTGCCACGGAATCCATTTCTTGCGGTACAAATCCATTATCCTCTACACAGGCTCGGAAATTTTTCGACAGCCCGTTAATGTGAAAAATATCCACAAGGCTGTTGTGCAAAACAAAGCCAGATGTCAACACACTCTTGCCGGTCCGTGATTTACGGACAGGCGCAGCCCCCGCTGGCCAAAAAGCGTTTGGCCGAATTTCGCAGCAACGGCAGCCTTGCTGGAAGCTTGCAATCAGTACCTCTTTGTCACTCGGTTGCTGCGAGGTAACGCTTCTGCTGCTGAGAGAGTGCCTCAGCAAGCTGCATTTCACCAGGCTGGTGCCCCGAGCCATGCGCCTGGAAGCGGCCCCTTTTAGAGTGAAATGTTGAACAAGCCTATGTTGACAATCATTTTGGACAGCTTGCCGCCCAACCAAGTATCGGCACAGTCAAGCAGTACATCCTCGAAGATACACCTGCTGTGCCTTCCGTGGGAGTGAGATGCCTAAAGGATGCTTGCGGTTTCGTTATGAGAGCCCACAGTAGGGCAGATGTCACACGGCATGATGTTCTGTTCTGTCCCACAAAGCTTAAATGTGCTTCACCTGCTGTTCCTCATCATATTTTCAAGGACTTCAGCCACGATCGGTTGAAGACGAGACGTTGGTCACTGAAGAACTTGAGTTTGAGGGAGAAGTTCTTAGACGAACAGGAACTTCGTAGAAGGATTGGTGAGGACAGGGGGTCTAGCTGTAGCTGGGAAGCGCTGTGAATGAACAGGATATGAGACCGAGGAAAGGCTAGGCAACGCCTGATTCTTAAACTTTTTCTGGGTCAAAGTTAAAGGTTCCATCTCAACGCGACTGTGAGGAAATCTTTCCAAGGGGCCATCGCTTCTGCAAGTGGCTTCGCGCTCACTTTTTTGAGGGTGTGGTCACACTGCTAGGCTCACGGAGGCTGATGGTCATTCGGCCGTGGCTTCAACTTTTAGCGCATCTGTTGTCCTGCGGGCTTGCTTCAGGAGCAATATGCTGCAGATTGCTACGGCCCTTTGGGTTGTCGTCTCAGAGGAAGACGCAGGGCGTGCGGCTGTCCACATGCAAGCTTTTCTTTGGCACCCGCTGCTGGCGGAGGCGGCTGCGGGAAGGGGCCAGAGACCATGCGCGCTGTTTTGGCAAACTTGTGTCTTGAATTGTTTCCTACTTCACGGGGCACAGAGGATTATGTGTATGCAACTATTCTTTTGCAGGCTCGTGTTGGATGTTTCGTCTCGTTTTTGCTGGCGGGCAACGCGGCTCTCTGTTGGCGAAACACTCAGGCGTTGGAAAGTCGGGTCGGGGTCGTGGTGTCACGGCCTGGGTAGTTTTTCAAGCAAAACCCACCAGCCACACATAGCTCGGTGCGATGCTGCAAAAGTTAAAGCCAAACCCCTTGGGTTGCAGGGAGCTTCCAGAAGATGCGCTGTTGAAAGATCCCAGAAAACTGCTGGAGCCAGCCATCCGGCTTGTTTCAGCGGCGACTGTCCAAGGTGTTGGCTGACTCAGTTGCGAATCTCGGCTGCGTGCCCTGCGCGAAGCTGGTTGCCAGTCAATGGCAAGAAGTGGTGATGCGAACGGGTGCACTTGCACCTTCGCACCTTCATCGCCCAAGGGCTTGCAATTTTGATTTCAGTGACGCGCTTAAGATGCACGCGGCGCTGGAGATCGCACCGGCCACGCGCTGCAAAAGCGCCACTGTTACCAGCTACGGAACCTGGCGGACGACTCAGCAACTGCAGTTGGGGCTTGCAGTGGAGAAGCTGCTTCGTGCTCTTGGCCAGGATATGGGGCGTGTCTAAGCTGCAGAGAGAGCAGGGGCGCGCGAGATGTTGCGCACACCCCCCCCATCCCCCCGCAAAGGAGCTGGATTTGGTGTCTGTGTTGACTTCCAGACAAACAAGTACCTCGTTTTTTCTGCTCGGAAATAAATCCGTCCGTCTTCGTAAAAACCATGCCGTTTGCTCAAAATGTGATCGCTTTCATCAATACGGAAAGGAAGAGGGACAGCTGAAAAGCACGCTTCTTGAAATTGCGCTCGTTTGCGCGAAATTGCGCCCTTGTGCGTGGAATTGCGCCCGTTGTGCGGCCTAATTGTTTGGCCGGAATCTCGCTGTTTCACACCTTTGTGCACATGGCCGCTTTGCTGAAAGCATCCGTTTGGGGGTGGGGAAAGAAAAGCACATGCCGAATGAAGATCCAGTGTGCAGCAGGCAGGCACGAAACTTGAAGCGAAGACGCACGAAGACGCACGAAGACGCAGGCAGACGCAGGAAGACGCCGAAGACGCGCGAAGACGCACGAAGACGCACGAAGACGCACGAAGACGCACGAACACATTGGGTTGGGAAGCAAGAGACGCTGTAACATAGAAAGAAAGCTCGGTTAGGGGCTTATGAAGGGGCGCGACAAGAGACGATCCAACGTAGAAGAGAAGATCGACCACTGAAATCTCGGCATGACGGACAGGGAGAGGCATTGACGCTCCAACGTAGACGAGAAGCTCGATGACTGATAACCGGGTCCGCTTATGCAAGGAGAGGCCCGGCGCGACAAGAGACGCTCCAATGTAGAAGAGAAGATCGATTGCTGACTGGCCTATTGCGAACGCAAAATGGTGTAATTCGAGATTCAGCCTTTTCAGCCGTAGTTCGGTAAAAATGGATATAGGAAGATCGATAGACGTATGTACACATATAGATGGATACCGGTCGAAAGATAGATATAGATGTAGGTGGAAATGCAGCTGCGAGTTTAGATTTAGGTGATATGTCCAGGCAGATATAGGCGGACATACATCATTTATGATAGTTATACATAGACATGGACAGATATAGATAGATCCTCAAATTATGTAGAAATATAGATGTAGGAAGATCGATTGGTCTGGAAACAGAAAGGAAGAAAGAAAGGAAGGAAGGAAGGAAGGAAGGAAGGAAGGAAGAAAGGAAGTAAGGAAAAAAGCCGCCAATGTAGCTGCAAGTTTAGATTTAGGTGATGTATGGGCAGATATGGGCAGGTGTAGGCAGATATACATATACAGTTATATCGCTAGACTTAGATAGATCTTGAAATTTTGCAAACAGATGAAAGCCCACACAGAGGGTTAAGACAGATAGATAGAGAGATGGGTAGATAGAAGGATAGAGTTAAGTACTGGCATATAGCGATTTACGGAGAGATGCAAGCAGGCTTTTAGATAAAGATTGGCATGGGAAGAACGAAAGATGTATATCTCTACATGTACATATGTACAGATGAATCTAGATAGATATAGATGTAGAGGTAGGTCTAAATGTAGTTGTGAATTGAAATTTATCTGGTTTATTTAGGCAGATATTAGGTAGATATTGGCAGTACACAAATACACACACGGATCTATACACATATAGAACGACATGGGTAGATCTAGATAGATCTTATAATTAGTGAACAGATCAGAAAAGTACAGAGAGGTGAAGATGCATATAGAGAGATACAGAGGTAGACAGATAGATCGACAGAAAGGGAGATAGATGGATAAAGTTGAGCATCGGTAAAACACATATCTATTTGTATGTTCACCTCAAGAGAGATATAGACAGGTATTTGGCTAAAGATCGACATATGAAGATCGAAAGAAAAATAAATATATATATATATATGTGGATAAAGATAGAAAAGAAAGCTTTCATATAGATGTAGATGCAGTAGTGAATGTAGCTGCATTTAGATTTAGGTGACATTTAGGCAAGTATAGGCAGCTGTTAGCAGACATATTTACAAACTCAGATTTAGATAGATCTTAAAGTTACATAAGCAGATATAAGCCTATACAGGGGGCCAAGACAGATAGATAGAGAGATGGGGAGATAGATGGATAGAGATAAGTGCTGGTATATACCGATTTAGGGAGAGATATACGCAGATTTTTAGACCAAGATTGAAATTGGAAGAACGATCTCTTTGTTTATATATATGTACAAATGGATCTAGATAGATTCGGATTTAGAGGTAGGTGTAAATGTAGCTGCGAATGGGATTTTAGGTGATTTATATTGGCAGATATTAGGCAGATATAGAGAGACATGGGTCGATCTAGATAGATCTTAAAATTTTGCGAACCGGGCAAAAAATCCAGAAAGGTGAAGGTGCATATAGAGAGATACAGACAAACAGGTAGACAGATAGATCGACAGAAAGGGAGATAGATGGATAAAGTTGAGCATCGGCGTAACACATATCTATTTGTATGTTCACCTCAAGAGAGATATAGACAGGCATTTGGATAAAGATCGGCATATGAAGATCGAAAGAAATATCTATATGCTTATATATGTGGATAAAGATAGAAAAGAAAGCTTTCATATAGATGTAGATGCAGTAGCGAATGTAGCTGCACTTAGATTTAGGTGACATTTAGGCGAGTATAGGCAGCTGTAAGCAGATATACACATATTTACAAACTCAGATTTAGATAGATCTTAAAGCTACATAAGCAGATATAAGCCTATACAGGGGGCCAAGACAGATAGATAGAGAGACGGGGAGATAGATGGATAGAGTTAAGTACTGGTATATATTGGTATACGGAGATTTATGGGCAGTAAAGGTTGATATGGAAGAACGAAAGATGTATTTTGCTCTACATACATGTGCAGATGGATCTAGATAGAAAGAAAGGTAGGTACAGATGTAGAAGTAGGCATACATGTAGCTGCGAATTTGGAATTAGGCGGCTTAAGTTGGCAGGTAGAAAACGATTTGAAATACAGATTTGTATAGATACAGGTAGGCATGGATAGATCTAGATAGATCTTAAATTTATGCGAACAGATCAATAACAAGAGGGGTAAAGATGGATATAGAGAGATATTGTCAAAAAGGTGGACTGATAGACCAACAGACAGGGAGATAGATGGACAGGGCTAAGTCTTGGTGTATATACATATATATCTATCCTTTTGTATGTTCACTCCAAGAGAGGTAGAGACCGGTATTTTGATGAAGAAAGAGGTAGGAATGCCGCAAGATGCGTATATATATACAGTATATATATATATTTCTGCATGGATGAAGATAGACAAGATTTTTTTTCATATAGGGGGGTTTCATATTGATGGCATCTTTGAAATGACCAAATTATGCCATCATGGCCAAAATTTCCCGCCAAATCGTTGAACCTTTTTGCTAGCAAAGATGGCACACGAGTCGGGCCCCTTGTCAAAACTTGGCTTCTGGGCGAGAGCAATGTGCCATGTTAGTGTGCTAGGTGCGCAGCTGGGCTTGATGAGGCCTTTAGGCCCCCCTGATGGTGGAGGGATGCAACTGTCGGTGGAAACAAAGGAATTCTTGCGCCGGAGATGAAGATTTCCGCGAGGAAAAACAGATTGCCGCAAGCTTTCCAGGTAGTAGAGGCTAGTGGCTAAAGGGCGGGTTCGTATTGATGGCACATAGGCAAATGTCTGGTTTTTATGGGCCCGAATATTTTTAGTCCTCACGAATACTACTTCAGTCTTCACGTCCAAAACCTTCAAACATCGGCTGGATGTGCCATCTTACCCACTCGAAACTCAGATGCCATCAATACGAAACCCCCTGTATGTGTAGATACAGGAGTAAAGGTAGCTGCAAATTTAGGTTTAGGTGATATATAGGCAGATGTAGGCTGACACGGATAGACATGGATAGATACAGATAGGTCTTAACATCATGAAACAAGTTAAAAAATTTTACGGAGACATAATTACGGATATAGATACAGACAAATAGGTAGACAGATAGATAGGCGGAAAGGGAGATAGATGGATAGTGTGAAGTTTTGACAAGCATGTAGGAACATATTTGTTTATCTGTTCACCTAGGCAGGTGTAGGCAGATATATTCATATATCGATAGATTTAAATAGATCTTCAAACTGTGTAAATGGACCTAAAGATGGATGTAGAGAGATACGGACTCAGACAGACACATAGGGAGATAGGTGGACAGTCAAGTACTGATATAGATGTATTTGTACATTCACCTCGAGAGACATAAACAGGTGTTTAAAGACTATAGGAAGATCGAAAGATGTATAAATATGTATATATATATATTGATTAAGAGATGGGTATTGATAGAAAAAAGATGTAGGTGTAGTTTGTAAGCGTAAATGTAGCCGCAAGCTAAGATTTGTGTGAATTTCAAGCCAGGTACAGGCAGATGCACATTTATTTATATTGATAGATCGGATAGATAGACATGGACAGATATAGACCGGCCTTCAAAATATGTACCTGGTACAGAAAGGTATAGATGGTGGTAGAGAGATAGAGGTCATTGATATGTATATATATATATGTAGATTTTTGATAGCTACCTAGAGGGGTATTTAGAGAAAGATAGATATAGGAAGAACGAACGATGTATATATATATATATGTACAGGTGGATCTAGATAGAAAGAACGGTGCAGATCGATGTAGAGGTAGATGTAAATGTATCTGCGAAATTAGATTTTAGTGATTCATTCAGGAATAGATAGGGCAATACATACATATATTTATATTTACAGACCTACACATATCCAGATATAGCTAGACATGGATAGATCTAGATAGATCTTAAGATGATTTGAACAGATCAAAGCACGCGGAACAAGGTAAAGATTGGTATAGAGAGATAGACAAAATAGGATATACGTAGGTCGAAAGGTGTGTTTTTATATATACAGTTTTTATACATGGAGTCTGCAAGAAAGAAAGAAAGAACAACATAGATTTAGGTGTGGGTGTAAGTGTCGCTGCAAATTTAAATGTAGGTGACTGGTATAC